CTGCTGGGCCGGGAGACATAAGGACTCTTAGGGCACCTGAGAAGGCCCTTTGTCACAGGTGGAGGGTGGTACCTAGTGGCATTATGGGAGTGGGCTTGGGGTCTGGGGACCAGGGAAGTCAAGTGGGCCCATCTGGGTGTTAGGAGACCTGAAGACAGCCAAACCTGGGGGAGGAACACCTGAAGACCCTGAGGAAACAGGACATGAAGGACCAGCTCCTGTTCCCTATCCTTTCTGAAACTTCGGGGCCGGGATGGTGAGACTCCGGTACACACAGACATGCACACTCTCTTGAGTGGCTCTGGGGACCCTCCCTCGCCTCTCATCTCCATCCCCAGCACACCCACTGTCAGGAAGCAAACTTTCTGTCCCCAACTCGCTTGTTTTTTCCTCAGACCTCACCTGTCTCTGGAGCGTATATCACTTTGGAAGAACTGATGGGGTCGAGCTAGGGGAGTCTGGGGGATAGTGGGGACATGGCCAGGAATAAAAGCCCTTGGCCCCAGGGCCTGCCAGCCTCTCTGAGAAGTAGAGCAGCCAAGGCCAACAGGGAGGCACCTCCAGGGTCTGAGGCTGGGCCCTATGCATGCAGGAAGCTCTGTGAACATTCTGGAGGTGATGAATGAGCACCTGCCCCAGTGACCTCAGGGGCCCTAAAGAAATCCACCAGACAGCTGAGAGGGATTTGGGAGGTTGTGCAGGCCTCCCCTCTTCTGTAAGTGGGGAGATTTCACCCACAGAATAGTGAAGGCACTAGGCCTAGAGTATGGGCCCAGAAAGTCTTGTCCACATGAGCCTCTCATTGTTCCTTGCCAGGGTGGGAGGGGGGTAGATGAGAACCCCCATCCAAGGGCTCTCTTGGGCCAGACTGAGATTAGTCCCTGCTGTAGGTCCTTCCAGGGGTTGCTCTTGGGTGGGCTTGCAGGACTGGGCTCCTGTGGCTTGGCCCTGCCTGGCCCTCTCTGTGTTTGTCTGATCTCTTTGGTCCATCTCGATGCCCTGGCCTCAGCCCAGCCATGATCTTCAGTGTTGTGTCTCCCTGTCCCCACCCCCTCTCTGGCTCTTCTCTCTTAGTTGCATACTTGAAGGACCGAAGGCTGAGTGGAGGAGCAGGTAGCCTTGTGGCCCCTCTCCTGATGCATGGACACCCCTTCCAGCCTCTCCCCTGCTCCTTCCTCTGTGCAGTGCTGCAGCCAGGTTGCATCTTGCTGTGATTTGGAAACTTCTTGTGTCCTGCTGCACTCAAAAACTCAGAAGATTCCTGTTCTTCTGCAGATCCTGGTCCACTGTGGGCTCTATCCTGTTCAGGGCTGGGTCTCAGAGCAGTCTTGCTTCTAGAATGCCATGGGCTGCGGGGCTTCCAGAGCTCTGGGAGTTAGAAATAGAACCTCCTCAGAAGTAGAGCCCAGGTCTGGCCTTGTGGGCAGCCATGCTGGCCCTGACCAAGCCAAACAGGCTGGCAGACGGGTGGGTGGGCAGGTGATTTCAGGCGAATGAAGTTTGCTGCCTGCAAGTCTCAACTGTGAGAATGAGAGCAAAAATGGACAGCTTGCAACCATGACATATGTCCTCCTTCACAAAAGCAATCCTGCTTCCCCATCCCATCATCCTTTTTTTAATTCTAGTACTAGGGTTTGTAGCTACATCCCCAGCCCTTTTTGAGTTGTCCAGGCTGGCCTCTAGCTTGCAATCCTCCTATCTCAGCCTTCTCAGCAGCTGGGATTAGAGGTGTCACTGTATCTGGCTCCCGTCATCCTCTTGGGGGAGGCCTGGTTGGAAACAGGGGCGCCTGGTCAGCACCTTCCCTGTCCTGGCCATAGCTCTGGCACAAGGCCCCACTGGCCATAGCCCCTTTGGCCCATTCACCATTGCCAGCCCTGCATGCCTCAGGCCTGATGGTGCCAGTTCCCTGGCTTGGGATGGACCTGTGTCAATGGAAGACTGGGTCTCGCTGGCCGCTTTGCTTGTGTTATCCTTTTCCCAGCCGCTGCTGCCTCGCCCTACCCGGCAGTCCTCACACCTGTTCCGTTTCTGTCCACAGTGCCCTCGGCCAGCATGACCCGTCTCGCACGATCTCGCACTGCATCTCTCACCAGTGCCAGCTCAGTGGATGGCAGCCGCCCACAGGCCTGCACCCACTCAGAGAGCAGTGAGGGGCTGGGCCAGGTCAACCACACCATGGAGGTATCCTGCTGAATCCCTGAGCTCCACTCAAGACACCTACCCACCTGCATCCAGGTCCCACTGCCATCCCTGCACCGGCTCATTTTCCCTTTAGTTTATTTTTGTGAGGGCAAAGGGGGGAAATGGGGCTACTTCTTTTAAAAAATGAGGGGATCCACCTTAGATGCTGCAGCATAAGTCTGCAGATGGTTTGAGGGGTCCCCATCCCCCACCCTCATCTCACTCCCCATGTGAACTTGGCTTATCAGGCCCTCACATCCAACAGCCTGGACACAGTCAGGGCTGGGCCTCAGAGAGGATGGGGTTAGATGAAGAAAGAGTTGGAGTTCTTGGGCCAGGATCCAGGATCATTCCTGGATTAAAGGAAGAACATGGCTCCACCCTTGGACAGGCAGGTTTGGAGAAGGGATGGGGTTTTGAGATGGTCAGTGTTGGGTTCAGATCCTGATGTGGGGGCCAGGAGAGAGCAGCCAGGGACTCTGGAGCTCTGAAGGCCTCTTGCACTCCACCAAGCACATCCGTTTCTGGTTTGTAGTACAGGTGCTAGGCATATGCTGACCAAGCAGTGGCTTTGCTGCAGCGCCTAGGCTAGTGCTGTAGGGCCAAACGGGCTGAAGGGAGTTTCTTGGCCTAGGGACAAGGAGAATCCTGAGGGCAGGAACCCTAACACAGTCCCTTTCTAGGCTATACTCTGCCACTTTCTGGCCCTGTCCCATTCTGAGCCAAGGCCTCCCTGAGGCAGAAGTTACCTATCCCTCTCTAGTGACCTGAGGACAGAGGGAAAGGACTGGAATTGCTCTTGTATGTTTTGTATACCCAAGAACTTCAACGTTACCACCCGTGGGAGCCATTAGGTGGCCAGAGGCAGTGTAGCTTAGAGTTCCCTTAGACCCCTGTTTGCCTTAGTCCCAGAGGGGAACCCACTCAGCAGCAGGGTGCTGTCCAGCAGAGCTCCTGTGCAGTGGCAGCATCTCCAGCAGGCATCACTGAGGAGGCAAGTGTATCTGGAGAGGCTGGTCCAGGGCAGCAAGACTCCAAAGCCCCATGTCACCAACTCTACCTGCTGGAGTGGGCACGGGCTGGGCTTCCTGGGTCCTGGGGTGGCAGATGAAGGTTCTTGAAGTAAACAAGGGGCCAGGCAGAGAAAAGCTCCCTATATACACAGAAAACATTCCCCTCCTGCCACCTGATGCCCAGGACTGTTGCCATTTATTTCCCACCCACCCACCTTACCAGGTATAATCCCCCAGCCCAGAAAACAGAGCCATTTGTCTCAGCCTAACTAAATTGTCACCACCCCCACTCCCCCCAGAAAGGAAAGCACTGGAAAAATGAAGGGCTGCCAAGGGGTAGGGTAGTGTGTTGTGTGGGTGTTCTGAGGCTGAGGACTCCAACATCTGCATTTCCTCACACACATAGCCTCCTTTCTATAATCTTAAGCCATTACTAGATTGCTCTAGGGCCTGGTAGAGTGTAGTCTGTCCTCAGTTCTGTTGACTCACGTGCTTCCTTTGAATATTGAATGTGACTGTTTAAAGCTGGTAGAATTAACCCTCTTACTGTAGATAAAGAACTGCAAGTATTTTTGTTTTTTTGCTGTGTTCTTTCTGATATCTATAAATATCTATACATTATATATATATGTATGTATATTGGGTCCTCCTGCGTGTGGTTTTTCATTGGAGGTTGTCTCTTCTTTGATCAAGGTGAACTTTTAATGGGGAGTTTATTATTTTCCTCTCTGTACAAAGTGAAGAGCCTAATTTTGTGTATTCTGGTGGCTGATGTCCTAAGACTTTGAGATGACAAAATGTAAAACAAATAAAACCCTTGTCAATGTAGAAAGAGTTACCTGTACTGAAAAACTAATAAACTAAGAAGAACCTAAGTGTGGCCATGCTGTGTGGAAGCTTTCCAAGAGACAGAATGTTCATGCTGCCTGGGCCAGTGCCTCTTGGGCTTGGGTGGGGTGGAGGGTGCCGGTTGAGGGCAGGGGCTGTTTCCACCCATCTCTACATTTCCACTTATCACCTTACCAATCTTAACATCAATTCTACAGAATGGATAATCTGCTTCCCCGTGTTAGGATAAAGGATCTGCCCCATGTGAGGCCAAGCTCGAATTAACTTGGCCTTGTTTGGCTACAAAACTGTAACCTGTAACCCATTCAGGGCCTCGTTTTCCCAAAATTAACAGCAATTTACTTCTCCATGTTTAATCCCAATTGGCTGCATTCACTACTCATTTACACATACCTCATACACGTCAACTAATAAAAAGAAAGTAAATAAACTCGCCAAGCGGTAGGCAGATGGAAATCGGGCAGAGGGGGTGTTCTGCGGACTCCGGAGCCAGCTGGGGCACGCCACTCTCCAACAAACGCGCAAACTCTCCCAACCGGACAAATCACGGTCGCATGGCCCTTGGTACGGGGGCCGAGATCCGGGATACCCTTGAGGGGAGCCCGCCAACCGACAGCCGCCACGCCCTCGGAAAGAACCCCGATTTTGTTCTCGCACGCAGACTTCTACCGCAGGAAGCCTCGGTTCTCGGGGTCAGACCGAAAGCAAGCAGCGGAGGGTCCAGGCTCCAGACGGCTGGAGACAGGCCTGCACTCGGGTTGCGCGTCTTCTAAATCCAATTGGAAATCAGAGTTACGGACGCTCTGGGAACAAACGGAAACCCTCACTCCTTTTCGGCGCGGACGCCAAAACCCGGCCCCCGGGGTTCCGGCACGTCCCGCCCGCCGGCGTCCTGTTGGGGCGGGGCCAGCAGCGCCGGAAGCGCCGGCGCGGGCACGCGGAGCGGTGGCGCGGGCCACGAGTCGGACCATGGCGACCCGGACCAAGCGCCCGCGGGTGAGTGGCGGGCGGCCGGCACCCGGCCCATCGCTCTGCCCCGCCCTGAGGCAGCCAGCGCGCGCCACTGCGCCCCCAGCCGCAGGTCCGGTTCCCCTCTTCCGCGTTCCCTCCCCCAAGCAAAGCGCGTCTCCCGCGCGCGCGCGCCGCCATCCCCGCGGGCTCCCTGGGGCGGGGCTTCGTCACTCGGCTCATTTATCTCAGGTGGCGCAACCGGGGGGCGGAGGCGAGCCGGACTCCGACCCTGTGGCTGGCTTCCTGAGCTGGTGCGGGCGGGTAGGGCTGGAGCTGAGCCCCAAGGTGAGTGGAAGTGCGGCGGGGTGGAGGGGCGCGCGTCCCCGACTGCTCTGACTGGCGTTTCTCCTCCCCTCGCAGGTGGCGGTGAGCCGGCAGGGCACTGTGGCCGGTTACGGCATGGTGACTCGTGAAAGCGTGCTGCCCGGGGAGCTGCTATTCGCAGTGCCGCGGGCAGCGCTCTTGTCGCCACACACCTGCTCGATCCGGGGCTTGCTGGAACGAGGTGGGCACGCTGGCGGACGGAGTCATCGAGGCAGGCCCTGGAGCCGTGCCGGGGCGCTCACTCCTGTGCTTTCCCTAGAGCGAGACGCGTTGCAGAGCCAGTCGGGCTGGGTGCCACTGCTGCTGGCGCTGCTCCATGAGCTGCAGGCCCCAGCCTCGCTGTGGAGCCCCTACTTTGCGCTGTGGCCCGAGCTGGACCGCTTGGAGCATCCCATGTTTTGGTGAGCTCAGTGGGAGGGGTTTGGAGCTCCCATTTCACTAATTGCTCCAGCCACCCTGCCCTGGGTGGGGACCAGGCTCCCACGCACTGGTCATGATAGGGTGTGAAGGGAGCTGCTCTGGGGTGTATCTGCAGGCCAGAAGAGGAGCGCCAGCGCCTGCTGCAAGGCACAGGTGTCCCGGAGGCAGTGGATAAGGATTTGGCCAACATTCGCAGCGAGTTCTATTCCATCGTGCTTCCCTTCATGGAAGCCCATCCGGATCTCTTTGGCCCCAGTGTTCGCTCCCTGGAACTCTACCACCAGCTAGTGGCCCTTGTGATGGCCTACAGGTCAGCGAGTAAAATCTTGGCGGACCCAACACCATTGAGGGATAAGGGTGGTGGAGGAAGAAGACAGTGAGCTCCACTCATAGTCTCCCACCCAAACCTGGGCCTTAGCCAAGTTCTCTCTGTGGCAGCTTTCAAGAACCACTGGAGGAAGAGGAAGATGAAAAGGAGCCGAATTCCCCTTTGATGGTGCCTGCTGCAGACATACTAAACCACTTAGCCAATCACAATGCCAATCTAGAATACTCTGCAGTGAGTGGATCCCGCCTAGTTTCTGTTATGTGCATTGACTGAGCATCTGATTCAAACTAGTGTCCTGGGGTTCAGTTTTCCTATTCATACTAAATATGAGTGGGTGAAATATGAAATTCTGTGTAATTGTGGTATGCATAAAGCAGTAAAGTCATTTGTACACAAAACATTTTAAAGCCCTCAAGAAATCCTGATAAGCTGGGTGTGGTGGCCGGTAGGCTAAGGCAAGAGGATTGCAAGCAACTCAGTGAGACCCTATCTCAAAAAAAAAAAAAAAAAAAAAACATTAAAAGGGTTTGGAATGTGGCTCACACCCCTGGGGTTCAATCCCTGGTATCAAAAAAAAAAAAAAAAAAAAAAGAAAAAGAAATCCTCACATAAATCGTTATTACCACCATTTACTTGGTGCCCATGCTGGGTGGTATTCATAGCCATGTTTCCTTCTCCACTGGCTGCTCTGGCCATGTCAGTCAGTCAAGACTCAGTTAGCTCTGGGGACAGCAGCCTGGAATGGCTATGGTCTCAGTAGTTTTCAGGAGGAGAGGTGCGAATGTTCATAAGCCCAAGTCTAAGATGACCCCATTTTGGGTCAGTTCTATTCTATAGGAATATTTGACAAACATTCACTGATTAAATCAGTGAATGTTGCTATTAATAGTTTCACTTGTCTTTTAATATATTGATCTGGGTTTAATAGTTCATTTTTTTTTCACATCTTCATACTAATAGTTCATTTTTAAAAGCTAACTTTTTCAGTGCAGAAGATGAACGAACAAAATTTACCTAATATCACAGGTTGTGGTCTTTTTAAAGTTAGGCCTTATCCCTTTCAATCTATAGTATAGGGTGTGACAGGAACTAAAAGCAGAATGGGGGTAGATACAGCTCAGTTCCCTGGCTGAGTATACCTGCCGGAGGCTTTCCTAAGAGGAGTGTGATCTTTGCGGGGTTGGCCTCAGAAAGGCATGGCTCCAGCTTCTCCCTTTCATCCCAGGATTATCTTCGGATGGTGGCTACCCAGCCCATTCCTAAAGGCCAGGAGATTTTCAACACTTATGGACAAATGGCTAATTGGCAACTTATTCACATGTACGGTTTTGTTGAACCATATCCTGACAACACGGATGACACAGCAGACATTCAAATGGTGACTGTCCGTGAAGCTGCAGTACGGGGTGAGTTGTCTCATTAACTTGTCTTTTGACAACCACAGCTGTGTCTGTACCCATGCAGCTTAGGTTATAATAGCTTTGCTAAATAGTGGTTGACTTATTGAAAATAAGCTCCTGGGTATACCAAGACTGGCCCTGTTACTTCATCTACAGGAACAAAAGGTGAAGCTGAAAGGCTCCAACTATATGAGCGCTGGGATTTCTTATGCAAACTGGAGATGGTAGGGGAAGAGGGTGCATTTGTGATTGGTCGTGAGGAGGTGCTAACTGAAGAGGAACTGGCCGCCACACTCAAGGTAAAGGGCTGAGAATTGTCTTGTGTAACGGTGATTAACGAGCAAGTACTTAAATGACCTGGACCCATGATTGTTTTCAGGTCCTGTGCATGCCTGCTGAGGAGTTCAGAGAGTTTAAAGACCGAGATGGATGGGGAGAAGATGAATGGGAAGAGGACAGACTAACAGTCACAAATATCCCCAAGCTCAAAGCATCATGGAGACAGCTTCTACGAGACAGTGTTCTTTTGACTCTGCAGACCTATGCCACAGATTTAAAAACTGAGGAGGATGTACTCAGTAATAAGGAGGCCTATGCAAAACTCAGCTGGAGGGAAAAGCAGGCCTTACAGGTTAGGTATGGTCAGAAGATGATCTTACATCAGTTATTGGAACTGACAAGTTAGCAGATTATTTAACTTCTTAGTCTAAACTGACACTTTGTTGCTCAAGAAGGGGAAGGTTTGGATCTTCTGCATTTATTAAATACCAAATGGAAAAGAAGCAAAGGTGCTACTCTAAACTCTTGAAGGTGACACACTTTAGGGTTGGAATCAACAGACTTGGGAATTACTGCTAATAATTAAGAACAGCACATTTTATAGCCACTTTAACAAAAGCCAGGAGAAAGATGATATTCATAGCACTTAGTAACATGGACTTTAGAGGAAGACCAGATTCAAATCTGGGTCTGTGGTGAGGAAGTCACTTTAGTAAGTAATATCACTGAAATTGGCTTTACTTGCACTTTCAGTTGTCTGAGTTTACTCTGGATGGCATGCCTTCCAATGGATAAACCTGAAGATACCAAGGACAGTCCCCTAGACCTCTGTTGTTTTATGGGTAGGGAGGAAAAAAAGGGTCAAAATTAAAGGTAGGGTAATTATAATTGAGATTGTTTTACATACCGACTCATCCATAATTCAATTTGATCACAGAAACCTGTTCCAACAGTTTTCTCCTGTTGAAACAACAAGCACTAAACAATTTCTTGGGAAAGTGCTGTCATTCAGGAAGAAGAAGTTTCCTGGGTTCCATCTCCAATACTGCCCCACCCGCACCCCCGAGTGCCCCAAAAGATGTTTCCCAATGGCTCTTGGCTATTCAAGGCTAGGCTGTCCACTTTCCTTCTCACCAACCCTAGCAGCTGCTGCTACTGAGAAAGGCACAGGGGACTAACATGAATGTCATGAGTTTTAATGTTTAACTTCAGTCCAGAAGTAGGGGAGCTAGAGCTCAGGAACTAGGAAGTCTACAAAATAGAACTCATGGGCCAATATATTCACAAAACATTTAAGATCCTTATAAAAAGGGGACTGCATGGTCCTTAAGATTTTTGTTAAGATGCAGTCATTCCTAAGTAAAATGACTATGAAGGGCAATTTGGTAAGGTTCAGTTCCTTTTTCCAGAGTTTGCCAGTATCAGGAGAAGACAGACATAGGAGCTTTAGGCCTGGGCTAGCTTCCCTTCATAAGAACATGAGCTGGCCTCACTCAGGTGCATGTTCTCAAGCAGGACTTGCTTTCCCTTTGGCATGCTTTTTCCCAAAGCTAAACAACTCGTCAATTGTGAGCCCTGGCATATCAATTCTATCACATCCATATCTTTTAGTCATTTTTTTTTTAAGGTCTCCTATTCATGTTAACAAAAATACATAATATTTAAACTGGCTTTTTAACTATTCTTTGGAATAGTAGAGTGTCCAAAGACATGGAACTATGCCCTTTGGCAAGTTATTGGCATTAGCTGCCTATTGAAGGATCCAGTTTATGTACTTGCCTTGAACACATTTTGCACAAACTCAAAAAGTTCCAGACAAAAGTTTTCTCTTTCATATATTTACACAAGTTCAAAATGATATTCACAGCATCTTCTAAATTTTGGCCAAGAGTCAAAAAATGCATTTAAACTTTGGAACGTGCCCATATAGACAGGAGGCTGATCCCAACAGTAGTTGGGGCAGGCGCCTGAGAACCAAAGGGCTGGAAAAGTCAGGAGGAACTGAGAGGCTTCTTCAGTTTATGGACTTGGTGCAGTGGGACCATGAGGCTGACACAACAGAGATACAGTTCATCTAACTGGCACCTGTCCCTTCCATTACTTGCTGAGCCTGCTTCTGTCCCATGCAGCACTGTGCAACCGACTGGAATAACCTGAAGAATGGAGACAATAACAAGTTTACTTGAGAGGAAAGTTTAGGCCTAATAATACCTAGTGCTTTAGCTGCCACTGCCTTCTTAATCACAGACCCAAGCTAGAGAGAATAAACGAAATCTGTCCTGTTCCACTGCTAGTTAATTAAAAATTACTTTTAACTCACTTTTCAATTTCTGGGGCACAGTGTACAAATTCGTGGTTCCAGAACTTAAACGCTGGATTTTTAATTAGTTCAATGAAGGTAATAAGAAGACCCCAAGGATGTGGCCTATTTACAATCAACCGTTCCAACAGAACCCTGGAGAAAGGAAGAAAGGGTTGGTTAAAGCACAGAGAATACATACAAAAGTATGATCATGCCTATTACCTTATTTCATAACTTTTTTTCCCCATGAAATCAAATTTTATCTTCCTCCCACATGTGAGGCCCTGGGTTCGATCCTCAGCACCACGTAAAAATAAATAAATAATAAAGGTATTGTGCCCATCTATAACTAATGTAAATAATAAAAATAGAAAGCTAGATTAAAAAACAAAACAGATTAATTAATCTACCTACCTACACAGCATAGTAAAGCATGCAGTAACTAATTAGTATACCTGGGGATTTGAATCCTGTCCCTGAGCTCTAAAAGTAATAATGGTTCCTATCTGAAAGATGATCAGAATAGGATGAAAGGCGGAAAGCCCATAAAATTCACAGCCCTCCAAAAATGAACATCCAATGAGAGCTGTGGAAAAAATTCTAACACTAGTGCATGTGTAAAGTATTTACTTAAATAGTCATGTCTTTTGACCTACCAACTGTAATTCTAAATTTGTCCTAAGAGAATGAAGATTAAGAACAAGACTTTATTGCAGATTCATATACAATCACAAAAGGGCACACTATCATCTAAGCATCCAATAATAAAATCAAGTTTTGGAATATAAATCCAAGAAACCATACTTAGCACAAGTATTAGTATTATTAAGTGAATCGACAAGTTTTTAAAGTATATATATATCACCAGAATCTACGTATTTCCCAATCTCTAATCCTACGTATAACCCAAGCAATCTGAAACAGACTTGTATGTTAGTAAAATATCCTTTTATTTCTCCTGCTTAAGACCTTCCTTTCCACCCAGAAGTAATTAAAAAGAAAAAAAAAATCAGGATTTTTGGTGAGGTACTTATTAGGCCTGTACTAATTCAGAACTCTTGTCAAAAATACTGCTGCCACTCCTACCACTACCTCAAAGAAATTCCTGCCTCTCAATAAAAATGTGCCCTTTAAACAAAAAGTTATCCCATACTTAACATGGTATTTAGACATGTGAAAAATATCCAAACACTTGAGTGAAAAGAAAAGAACTCTTAAGAATTCTAAATGAAGAGAAAGGAGCCAATTTTGAACAATTTGAAAATGACTTTTTTTTTACCTTGTGATCTGTTCCTGGATAGCTTCAGTGTTGGCCTCTGCAAAAAGGTAGAGCATGGTGCAGCTGAAGTAGTGAGTGTGGCTATTTGGGTACCGCAGCTGATTTGCAATTGCATTCAAGAAGAGATACCGACCTAGAAATTAAAGAAATTAATGAGGACTTGCTCTAAAAGGCCAACATAGGAAGGAAAAATAAGATTTGGGCTCCTTAGAGAGGCTTTCAGTCTCCCTGAGAGTTTCTCTTTGTGGGTTTTTACTGTGATAGTTCCAACATTAGAAATTTAAAGGGTTTTTTTGTTTGTTTGTTTTGTTTTTAAACTGGGGTAGGTGGTGCTGGGCTAGAGACTGAACCCAGGAGTATTCTACATCTGAACTGGTATCTCCAGACTTGTTGAGACAGGGTCTCTGTATATTGCTAGGCTAACACTAAACTTATGATCCTCTTGACATAGCCTCCAGAGTTGGTAGAATTATAGGTATATGCCACCACACCCAGCTGAATACTTTTTATAAAATCCACTTAGTTAATGTAAATAACATTAAAAAAAATTAGCCTAAAAATTCAGTGAAAAGGTGTTTTAACATTTTACATGTCCCTTTAATGTCGTCATGGAAGAAAACTGGATTCTCATTTTTGTCTATACATTTAATCAGTTGTAGCACATTTCATGCAGTCTATGTGGAAATTTTCCTATATGCTGTGACAGACCACAATAAAATTTTGTCTTATTATTATGCTTCACAGCCCATCTAAGAAAGTCTTGAAAATGCCCCTCAAAGTTTTAAAACCACACTTTGAGAATGATAAGTTTAATAAGCCATACTGGAATTAGTATTAACTGGGTTTGGATGTCTGCCTGTGCATGATGTTACTCATGGTTTTTTTGTTATTGTTCTCTTAGTTATATATGACAGCAGAATGCATTTCAATTCATTGTACACAAATAGAGCACATTTTAATTCTCTGGTTGTACATGATGTAGAGTCACAGCATTCGTGCAATCATATATGGATGTCACTCATGTTTATGAAGCTATCATAGTCACCCTGCACACTTCCCTAATGGCTGTCCTCCTTTTAGTGCTAAGGTCTGGATGTTAATAATATTCAATTTCATCAAATCTGGATTTTAAGCTCTCTTGAATCCCTTCTAAAACAAGCAGTATATATATATATACTCAAGATTCCTTAGTCTCTGAAGAATCCACAGCAAAGTGAAAAGTAATACTACTTCTAAAGTACAATATGCTAAAATGAGTAGGACTGTATAACAGCTATTTAGCAGCTAACTGGGGTTCCCACTTTGTAAGAATGAATACAGAGCACCAAAAGAAATGTAGCTCAACCAGGAAAGATGCAAAGTAATAGGAATTGTACTGTGAACTTCCTGCAAAATAGGTAGGGAAGTCCTGTTTATTTTATTTTATTTTTTGGTGGATTGAACCCAGGGCTTTGTGCTTTGCAAGACAAGCACTCTACCAACTGAGCTATACTCCCAGCCCCCTGTTAGAATTTTTATACCTCACATTTAGTATGTCTGCAAACAGGTGCCAATAAATGCTGGGAAACAGCAGACTAATAATGTAAAATAAGCCAATGTTTTAATAGACTACTAAGTTATTTGCATATTAGAATAATCACAGAGACCAAAATACTAATATGGCAGAATTTTGAATAATTTCTTTTGGTGTCTTTTACATTGAACAGATAATGTCCAATGAAAGATGAAATAACCAGCTATACCTATAAATATACTGATAGAATATTCTTTTATTGTAGCTTAAAGCATTTTTATATTTTGTGATCAGACTGTCACCAAAAAATCCAGAAAATTTGTGTGGTCTGGCTGGCTTCACTCACCCTCAGTGTCCAAATCCACAGCCAGGTTCTGGAAGATGTCCATGTGTGCCGAGTGGGTGATGGTGCTCATTGAAGGCGTGCTGCCCTTGTTGTGGATATGTGCAATAGCCTGAGTCCCTACATAGAGCACCAGTGCGTTGATGAGCTGGAGGTTGTAGCGATTGCCAGGCTCATTGGATACCTTAAATGAGCAAAACAGAAAACTTACTCACAGAACTCACTCTAGCACCAATATTTCTAAATTTGCCTCCATAGAAAGGCTAAACTACTCTCTGTGTTCTTTGTGATTTAATTAATAGAACCCTGCTTAATTCAGTGAGGTCATTTAACAAATATATAACTGCCCTAATAATGGTTCTTCCAATAAAAACATGAGAATCCAAACAAATATCATCACTATGTTTGTGGCACAGTTCTAAATAAAGTTTATCAAGCCAAAACATGCAGT